GTAGGGAGCAGCGGATTCAAGGTTCATTCCTAAGTGCACTGAATGATTTCCCTTTCTTTCCATACAGGAAGGGAAAATCTTCCTATGTGCTGTAAGAATGAGACTCAAATCTGGTGAAATGGTAGCAAATTCCAACTTTCTGAATCTTTCAGAAGGCTAACATTAGCTACCATTTTCCCCTCCCCAATTGTTCATTTTGGAGAAAGGGCCTTCAGAACCATCACAAGAATGGGGTCCTCTTGCAGGATGGAACAGATGGCCTTGGAGGTCAGCAGTTGGAGAACAATGCAAAGTGGACCTGGGTATGGGGAGAACTGGTAAGAACCTGAGACTCCCAGACTTGGTAGATCAGGGAGAGTCCCAGGCCTTCAAATGTGGTGCAACATTCACATTCAATCCCCATGCCACCATGGGAACCCTCTCCCAGGCACTCCACTTGACTGTTATGGTCGCTTAACAACCACGCCTGTGAATGCTGGGGTTGCAATTGTTCAGCAAAGTGGTCATGTGGCACCTCACTTAATAACCATTTTGCTTAACTATTAAGATTTCAGGTGCAACCACAGTTGTAAGTAGTAGAATAACTGTAAACCAAAATAACAGCTAAAAAAGAACAGGCTATGGAAACAATGTTACATATGGCCTGTGTTGGATTTGAATTTCTTTTCTCATGCATAGCATTTTTGAGAATGAGAGATTATGCTTTGGTTCAGAATTTATTTCATATTATAGCTTTAATGTTTACATTTAATTTGAGCAGGTTTCTGATTTTTTGTTACAGGATTTATAAAAATGCAAGCAAACAATTTATTTAGATTAATCGGCCTTTCAGATGTGATTATAAAGATAGTTTACAAAGCTTACATACCTTCATCACAAATTCTATAATTCAATGACAAGAAATTCGTAGCTCATTGCTAGAAATTGCTAGATACAGTATCTAATAGTTCTAGCCAAAAAGTTAAATGATAATAGGAGCGTTAGTTCATGAACATTTAGTAGGTAATAATTTTCCTATCCTGACTTAACTGGAAATTTCAAGGATTAAAAACAACTTCCTACACACGGCATGACTTCTTTTGCTATTATGTTATAGATCCATTTATATCTTCACTGCTTTTAAATATTACTGGACCATTCAATAACCAACATTATTTAAGTAATTCCCTTATGGCAATAAAGTTCCATTACAAATGACAGTTTTTAAACTCCATGAAAAGTATACATTGGATGAGATTTTATTGGTTATTTCTGTGATTATCAAATTAGGGAGAAGCAACAGCAGCAAGGAAGAATATGACTCATGAATTATTTTGAATGCATTTTGCACATATATTTTTTTTTACAAATTTCACCAAGATCCTCTGTTTTTAACACCCTTGACTGATGGGTAGTAGACAAGTATACACATGGATAATTGGAGATGAAAATGCTCAGAAAAAAAGGAATAAGAAAGCAAAGGGAAGTTAATGGCCATGCAGATAGATAGAGTATGCAGAAGTAAAATTAATGCACAGTGTGGGAATAATGGCAGAGACCTGCTCCCATATGATGTGCCATAGTGTACACGAAACAATGAAAGCGCATGGGAATGTGGAAAACAGGA